CACCCCCCCCCCCCCCTCCCCTCAACCCCCCCCCCTCCCCCGCCAGGCGTCCTCACCGTCATGTCCTTCCTGTGGGCCCTCCCCTGCGCCATCCTCATCGAGGGAACCACACACGCCGACACGCGGCCGCCGGACACCCCCATCTCCTCCTCCCGACCCACCGCACCCTCTCTCTTCCTAGGCCCCACCGCCCTGGCGAAGTGGAGCGCCGCGACGGCGGTCAAGCCGGTGTGTGTGCCAGAGACCCCGCGCCCGAGATTGGCCCGGGATTGGCCCGAGATGAAGCGGGGGGCGGTGGAGATGCGTGAGGCGGCCTACATGCTCAATACCGCACCACCCACGGGAGTGAACCCACACTGGATTCGGTACTCTGGGGGTACGGTAGGCGTCGTACATCCTCCAGTACACGGTCTCGACCGGCCTCTACTTTTACCTCTACAACGAGGCTCGAGAGAGTCCCTCGCGGCTCCCTCTCGGCTCCCTCTCGGCTGCCTCTCTCGGCTATCTCTCGGCTCCCTCTCGGCTGCCTCTCGGCTGCCTCTCGGCTCCCTCTCGGCTCCCTCTTGGCTCCCTCTCGGCTCCCTCTCGGCACCCTCTCGGCTCCCTCTTGGCTCCCTCTTGGCTCCCTCTCGGCTCCCTCTCGGCTTCCTCTCGGCTTCCTCTCGGCTTCCTCTCGGCTTCCTCTCGGCTCGCCTAGGCCCACCACGGCTACCTCTCGGCTCAGCCCTCCGACCTCTCCGGACGCAGGTTGCGATGCTCGCGCTGAACAACGTCAACCCGGTGACACACGCGGTCGCAAACACGCTCAAGCGCGCCGCCACCCTGCCCGCCGGTGTCGCCCCCTGCACACACACCTGTTTTCGAGGTCCAGCTCCGTGTTGCAGCCGCGTCCCTTCTCCCCGCCCGCGCGGCGTGCGGCCTTTGCGCGTTCTCGCTGGTGGAGCGCGGCGTGTTTTCTTTTCCCCGTAGGCGTGTCGTGATCCTGCTCGCGTGCGTCGTCTTCTTCAAGACGCCGATGACGCCGCTCTGCATCGCCGGCTCGACGGTGCGAGATTCGCCGAGATTCGCCGAGATTCGCCGAGATTCGCCGAGATTCGCCGGCTCGTCGGTGTGAGATTCGCCGAGATTCGCCGAGATTCGCCGAGATTCGCCGGCTCGTCGGTGCGAGATTCGCCGAGAGCCGCCGAGAGTCGCGGAGAGTAGCCGCGAGCAGCCGAGAGCAGCGAGAGCAGCCGCGCCGCCGCGCGGACGCCGCTCTGGGGGGGGGGGGGGTTGGCGCTGCGTTAGGACGGCGTCTCTTCACAGCAGGCTCGGTGTCGGACTAGGTGGCGATCGTCGGCTCCTACCTCTACTCGATGGCCAAGGGGCGCGAGAAGGCGCTGGCCAAGGCCGCCGCCAAGAAGGGGGCGGCATGACCATGAGCCACCGCGCGGCTTGCCGCAGCGGTCGCGCCGCGCCGGGTATTGCTACGTCAGTAGGTCCCGCGGCGTTTGGGTCTTGCTCCAGCGCCCATAGGGTGGCCTTGATTGCGCGCCGCCTCCCGGACGAGGGAGGGCGGCGCGCCCTATTTGCCGCGCGCTGGCTTGTGTACAGACGGCGTTATGGCCCCTCTCTTCACGCCGGAAATTTCTAAAAAAGAAAGGTGTTCCACGGCGGGGAAGCGGGGGGCCGGGGCGCCGTCCCCGCCGACTCGTCGGCCGCTGGGGCTGGGGGGGCGGGCGAGGGGGTGGGGGCTGGGCGTGGGGGAGCGGGACAGGATCTTGGAGTGTTTGGACGCGCGCCAAAACGGTCCGTAATTCTAATTGGCCATGTGTATCCAACCCCCGCCGCGCTTTTTTCTTAGAGAAGCAAGCGTTGCGAGTCCGAGGAGTTGCTGTACGCTTCCTGTAACGTACGCGCTGATGCGCGCGAGACGGAATATTCTGACATGTAGTACGGAGGGCGACGGGCGGAGGACACGAGTAGTGGAGACGCCTGGCCAGCGCTCAACATAGGTAGACCGTGTCACGCCTCTGCTCTCAAAGCATCTTCTCCCCCGAGCTCTGGCTGGGCTCGCCACCCTGCTTCGGAAGAAGCTTGGTGCACCCATAGGCGAGACCCGCTACCAACAACGTCAGCAGCGCCACGACGCCCACCATGAGGGCCCAAAGCGGGATCGCCGAGGCGGGACCGCTCGCGCTGCAACCGCCCGCATCCTGCTCGGTCAAAGCCGCCATCTCGTTCACCAGGTCGGCGAAAAAGGGGGCCCAGGGGCTGAGGAGCTCAAGAGGGATGGGCTCGTCGAGCAGGGTTCTCTCGAGAAAGTCCATCCCCCTCGCGACCCCCTCGCTGATGTCGAGAGCTTCCACAGTCGCACTCAGCGTGGGCGCGCCGCCACTCACCCGCGCGTGCACGCAGGAGACGCCTCCCATCACATCGCCGACACTCAGCATCCACGGCCGCACCGCGCCGCGAGCCGCGAAGCCAGCATCGTCGGCGGGGTAGAGGCGGAGCGGTGCCGCGACGGATACGTCACGGAGCCGCAAGCGCGCCGACGTCTTGATCGTGGTCTCGGAGCCAAGCTGCGACTGCTTCTTTGGCAGGAGCAGCTCCAGCGACACGCGTGCGTCCAGGTACTTGAGCGTAAGGTGGGCCGTGTCTCCCCCTCCCTCCACCTCTAGCTTCGTCAGCGGGGCGTGGAGCCGTGTCTCGAGCGTCACGTCTGACACGCGGATCGACGGGCGGTCTGCATTCGGGAGGAGACGATACAACGCGCTGGCACCCACGGATGACTTCCACGTCGCGCCGTCAAGGAGGGTGCCTGTCGGCGCCAGCCGGAGCGCCTCATCGCCAAACCTGAGGAATATGGGCTGCAGCGCGGCCAGGTCGGCCATCGACAGACCGAAATTGACCACCATGCCAAAGGCGTGGCCGACCCCGAGCCAATTCATCCACGACCCTGATGGAGACGATGCTTCCCCGTCTCCAGCGTCGCGGGCGAGTGTCTCGCTACCGCACGGCCGCACGCTGGCGCACTCCTCGGCGGTGAGCAGCTGTCGCAACACCGAGCCACTCAACGCGTGCGTCAGCGATGCACTCCCCGCCACGCCGCTGGCCGGCAAAGCATTGACGTTCGTGAGGACGAACCCGAGCAGTTCGTTGAAGAAGGCAGCCGCGTCCTCTTCCCAGTCACCACCAGCGGCACGCGCATGAATGTTGACGTCCCCATCGACGCTAAAGTCCTGCAGCCCGAGCTTGAGCAGCGCGCAGGCGAAGATCGAGGCGCCCTTTTGCATGTGGAGGAGCGAGCTCTGCGTGCTCGTGGTGAAGTTCTTGCCCACCATGCCAAACTGAATACGCTGCTTGATGGCCTTGGACGGGTCGAGCTCGTAGCCCCGCGCTTGGCTGCCGCCAAGGCGCGGCCCCTCCGGCTCCGCCGTCGGCAGCCATATGAAGTTTGCGGCCGCTCGCACCTCGAGGAATTCAAAGTCCAGCGTGGCGTTGAGGTCGTAGCCAAAAATCAAGCTCATGAAGGAGCTATCTGCGACCGTCAGGTTCAGCTCAACTAGCTCGAACTGCGCCAGGCCCGACTCGGTGCGCGGCGCGGCGTCGACGACGATGCCGCCTCCGCTGCTGGTGAGCGGACTGCTGCCGAGCATGGCCTCCGCCAGGGCTGCGAGCGCCGGCGTATCGAGCACAAGCTCGGTTGCGCGCGGCTCGTCGTTTCGGGGCGGCCGTGCCTCGCCCATCCGGTGGAAGACTGAGAGTGGCGAGAACGGCCCGCTGAGCACCGTTTCGGAGACAAGGTTGAATAGGCGGCAGCCCTCCGAGAAGACACATCCCGCGCCGCCGTCGGCCGACTCGTTGCGTGGCTCCGGCGGGGTAGCCAGCTTCGTGTGCCGTGGGAAATTCTGCTTGACGATCGCCTCCACGAGACCCGTACGTATCATCGGCGTCACAGCACGCATCAGCTCGTTGGTGAATCCCGTGTTTGAGGACTGCTCCGTGTCAAACACGTGGACCTCGAGCCGCCCGATCGACATGCCCGCCACCGGACAGCGCATGTCGAGGGGCCGGCAGGAGCAGCTCTTCGTCGGCTTGCACGCCGGGTCTGCAAAGCCCAAGTTCTGGATCAGGTTACCGTCATCGTCGGCCTCGAAGCCAACAAAAATCTCCGCGCCGATCTTGATGTCGCCGAGGTCGATGGTCATGCTCGAGTCCGACAGGTGGTGCGCGACCAGGCCCGACGCCTCGTCGCCATGGATCACCGCCGTGCAGGTCATCTCCTTGATGTGTATGGCGATGCGCAGCCTCCGGCCCGAGTCGGGTGACGTTTGACTCAGCAGACTCGAGTCCTTCTCGACAAAGGCCTCGGCGCTGAATGGCGCGCGGCGGATGTAGGAGCACACCAGGTGCGACGCGACGAGGCTCTTGATCTTGATCGTGCCAGACAGAGGGATCTCCACCTCGACCCAGTTCGAGTTCCCCCACCCGTCGAAATACGCGTTTGGCAACGGGAGCGTCTCCTGCCCCCCAAACAGCTCCAGCAGCGGGCCGAGCAGGCACTGTGGCCGAGCGCCCCACCACGGAGGGCCGATGACCCAGCATCCTGGCGGTGGCCCGTTTGCACTGCTCTTCTTGTTGGAGGGCGGGTGCCACGTCGCGTCGCAGCTGGCGGTGCCTGGTGGCGTGCGTGGCGGCCGCGGCGGTAGAGGAGGAGGCCTGGGCGATATTGGTGGGCGCGGTGGCGGTTTGGGCGGTGGCGGTGACGGTCCGCGCTCGAAGGAGAGCCGCACGTCGAGATAGCGCGAGTCTCCGCCTGACAGGCGGGCAGTATAGGGGCCGCTGCCTGTGGCGGCAAGCAAAGGCACGGAGGCAGAACAGCAGAGCGAGTCGTGGAGCCCCAAGTTGTCGACGTCGAACAGCTCAAACGTGACTTGGGTGTCCTCCCACACCACGACGTCCGGAAACGTGGCGCAGCAGTGACTCCAGTACGCGGTGGGCGGCCCATCACGCAAGTCGTTCATCATCGACCCCAGAATCGAGGAGCTACAGCGGTGTGCTCGCTCGCAGTATCGCCCGTCGCAATCGTATCCGAACTTCAATTTGACGGCCCAATCGGGGGCGGTGCCCCAGTCCATGTTGGGCAGCCCGAGGCCGTGGACGTCGAGCACGCAGATCTGCAAGTCGTCGAGAGAGATCAAATCGGGGAAGACCGGAGGCAGGCCGCGTGCACGCGGCCCTGCGTCACTCACCGTCAGATTTGCGACCGGGTCGGACCAAACGGGGAGAGCGCTCATGCGGGGCGACGACAGAGGACGCACGTCTCGCGCCGATAAATTTTGGGGTACAAAAAAGATCCTCGCCGCCGTGCCTGTGGAGAAAAATGACTTCTCTCGCTCTCAAACTAAAAGAGTCGCAGTTCCCTTGCTCCAAGCGCTTGCGTTTCGGCGGTAGTGATCTGATCACCCGAATGCCACGTTCGGATGCAGTTCACCCTGGGGTATGTTCTCGAATGTTCGTAAAGATCCACAGCCTTGTTGAGAGGAAAATACGGCCCCATACACACATGAAGAGGACTCTGGCGTAGCCGCACGAAGAACTCGGCGATGCCGCAATGGTCAACCCGCGTGCGAAGCACGCGACACGACACAAATACCTGCTCAAACGACTCGTCAAGACCCTTCGCTCGGCGTGGGGCATGCTCATCGAGATGGAGCCGACTGCACACCTCAGTTACAGTAACCCAAAACAACCTGACGTGGCGGCGGCGAACATCGGCAAAGGGCATGTGCGCCTCGTTGGCGACTTGAAACTCACGAGCTCGCTTGCGTGCAAGGGTGGCGATCGGCTCGGCTGGAAGGGGGCTTTTGTCGCCTTCGGCAACACCGAGCGGGCGCTGCTCGACTTAGTGTTAGGGCATGCTGCATGGCCGCGGCCGGGAGGGGGGGGGGAGGGGGGGAGGGAGGCGGAGGATGCAGAGGCGGAGGCGGCGGCGGCGGAAGAGGAGGAGGGGGAGAGTGAGGGGGAGGCGGAGGCGGGGGCACCTGTGACGGCCCGCTACGAGAAGGGCGAATACCGGTTCGCGCGGGAGAAGAATTGCGACCTGCGTTTGCTCGACTTCGAGACGTTCGGCGGCTTCGGGGACGGCGTCCGCAGAATTCTTCGGCAGGCGGCGGACCAGCTGAGTAACAAACTTTCGCACGCTCAGCACCTCGATGAGGTCACATGGACCACCAAGAACTGGCACGGGCTGCAGATGCAGCGCTTGTCTGTCGTTCTCCACACCGCCGTGGCGTGGCAGACGGTGAACGAGCTAGCGTGCGGGGACAGCGGCATTGTGCACGGAGCTAAGTGCATTGCCGTTCTTAACGGAGTCGCTTAGGCGGCTCCGGTGGTGTGCCGGTGATAGTACTAGCACGCGCCAGTTCGCACCTGTGTCGAGCCTGTGTGCTCTGAGAGAGAGTTGTTTTGTTTAAACTCTGCGGCTCCGGTGGTGTGCCGGTGATAGTACTAGCACGCGCCAGTTCGCACCTGTGTCGAGCCTGTCTGCTGTGAGAGAGAGTTGTTTTGTTTAAAGATGCGCTGCAGGCATATTCAAGATGCGTTGCGTTTTCCCTATTGAAAGTCGCGACAAATGTCCCTCGTCCAGCCTGCAGCATGGCGAGGCGCGAGAGCGCAACGCGGTCGCGGTGGCGCACCGAGAGGGGCCGCCTGGCCACCGCTGCCACGGCGCCGCACGGACTTCACCCACTTTCGCGACTGTGGCCATCCAACAGTCTGCCGGCGCGGCGGGCGCATTCGAATGCGCCGGCCGCGCCGGCAGACTGCCAGTGCTTGCTATCCCGGGCGCACGTCAGCCGCGAGGACAGCGCTGCATCGCCGCCACAGCAACGCCTCCCCCGCGTGGCCGCCGCCAGCAATGCCGCCGCCAGCCGCCGCATCCAGCCGCCGCCGCCAGCTGCCGCCAGCACTGCAGCGACAGCTCTCTGCTGCCCAGGCGCCGCCGCGGCCACGAGTGTCACCGCCACGTCCCACGAGTGCCACCGCCGTCAGCGTCGCCATGGCCACTGCCGCCGCCAGGGGGGCGAGAGAGGGGCTCCATATGTGTGTATGAGGTGTGTGTCTGGAGGCTGTCGCTTCCTGTACAGGAAACGCAGGTATTTCGAATAGCAAACGCGCTTATACTTGCAGGGCATCTTTAAACTCTGGCGTTACGGTTGATAAGGGATCGAATGGCAACGCCAGCTCCTGCCTCGGCTGCAGCGGAAGCGGCTGCCGCGGCGCCGGAAGCGGCTGCCGCTCCGGAGTCGTCGGCGGCAACAACTGCGCTCGTCCCCGCCACCGACGCAACCGCGGTGTTTCCGGCATGGCTTGAGCGAGCAGAGACGGCGATGCAAGCAGCAGCTGCGGCGGAGAGGGCGCAACGCGAGGCGATAGTGAATGCGCAAAGTAAGGCAGACGAAGCCATAGCAGCGGCGCTGGCGGAATGCAAAAAGAGCGAGCAGGCCGCGGAGCAGCGGGCTGCTAGAGCTGACGCCAATGCTGCGAATGCGAGGGCTGAGAGCTGGGCAGACGAAACGATTGCAGCGGCGGCCGCCAAGGTGGAGGAGTGCGAACGAGAGGTGGCCGCGGCAGCCAATGCGCTCGAGAAGAACACCGGCGAAACTACGGGTGAAGCCGCGACGCCACCAGAGGCGGAGAAGAAGGGCGGGGGCGAGCCGCAACAGCAACTCACCCAGCAGCGAGAGCAGGCGGACCGGGAGGTGGAGGCAGCGTACGCAGACGTGCCACGCGTGCGGAATGCGGCCAAAGAGCTCTTTCACGCCAAGGTGCGCAAGGCGCGCGCCGAGGCCGAGCACACTGTCGCGCTTGCCGCCAAGGAGACGAGGGCGAAAGTGGCGGCCATGCGGCACGCGATGGCGGAGGCGCAGGCAGAGATGCTCGTCTTGGAAGAGGACGAGAGCAGAGGCGGCGGGCCGGGCACGGGCCGCTTCACGCGAGCGTCCAACATGACGCTGGCCACTCTATAACTACAGCGTTGGTTGTGTGGTGAGCTGGTGTCGTGGCGACGGCGAGCCGCTGTCTCTCGTGTCTCTATCACACGTGCAGCGTCTTTGGACTTGGTCTTGTTGACACTGTGTCTGGGTCGGGCGCGGCTGAGGGTCCCACCTTCCACCTGTCCCCGCACATAGCTGGTGCAAAGGCGGGAGCGCTGCGCCGTGCCAAAGAGCGATCACGCAGACCGTCTAATAAAATATACAAAACAATTTATTTGCTGGCCACCCGACCGACACACGTTACTCTCACCAAACGAATAGAAACAGCCAAAGAGCCAAACTCAAAAGCCTGCTCGAACGCTCGAACCGCGCGGGCCAAAGTACCACAAATCTCTGCACGCGAAGCGCACAGCCTCTTCAGCCCAGCAGCTCTTCCAGGTTGGCCGGCTTCGAGTAGTCGCAGTTCTCGCCGGAAAGGCTGGAGAGGAGGGCCGCCATGTCGCCGGAGAAGGCGGCGCCCTCGCCAGGCGGGCTGCTCACGACGTCAAAGGAGCGGCCTCGCGCCTCGGGCGTGTCGAGCGCGAGCACGCAGAGCGCGGCCACGTCCTCGCGAGGGATGACGCGCCCGGCGGCGTCGCGCTCCATCAGCGCATCGTCCACCCCCACGACCAGCGCTCTCTGTCCGCCTGCTCACACTCGAGGGAGGCGGGTGTGAAGAGGCGCTGAGCTCGCCGCCGCCGCGCGAGCTCGCACGTCGGCGCCTGGGGCGGGCTCCTTCTGGCCATAGTGCGGGAGCAGGCCGCCGGGGTGGATGACCGTGTACTCCAAGCCGGAGGCGATGAGCTCCATTTCGGCGCGCCGCTTCCAAAGCACGATCTTGTCCATCGACACGTTCAGAAAGTGCTCCGGCAGCGTGCCTGCCATTGATGTTCACATTGATGTTCACTACCGGTATAGCACTGCCATTTGAGAACATCAATAGTGCCTGCCATCGAGGAGAGCAGCACCACGTGCGACACGCCCGCCGCCTTGGCCGCGGCGATCTGCACTCGCGTTCCCTCGTAGTCGACATCGCGCGGCGCCGCCCCCGCGGGGAAGGAGAAGCGGGGCTTGGCGTCCTTGTTGCCCATCATCTTGCCAAAGATGACGCCCGGAAGCGACCAAAAGTCCAGCTTTGGCTTTGCGCTCGTGCAGATGATGAGCGCATCGGCCCCACCGAGGGCAGTCTCCAGGCTCGCCCTTGCGTCCGGCCCAGTCACGTCCGCGAGGGCAACGTCCAGATTCGCATAGCTGGCGCACAGCTCGTCCGCCTTGTCCTGCGACCGGACGACAGCCAGCGGCGTGTGCCCGCGCTCCTGCAGCTTACGCACGACGAGCGAGCCCGTCAAGCCCGAGGCGCCAGTGACCGCCACCTTCATAAGGCAACCCGAATTACTGTGCTGCGCCCGGGGCCGCGGATTGTGGACGAGGGCAAACCGCGCAAAGTCGAAATGAAGAAAATCTTCGACGCGCACGGCCGTGCGAGCCGTCGGTCGGTCGTCGTCGTCGTCGTCGTCGGTGGTGATGGTCGGCGTCCGCGCGCGCCGACCAACGCGGCTGCGGTGGGCGTCATGTGGCGGGCGTGGGACTAGACATTGTGCGAATTGCGTTCGGACGTCCCGCTAGGCGCTCGGAGGATTGTGTTGCCCCGCGCGCCTAACCCCCACGGCGCCCAGGCGCGAGAAACGAATCTGCGAGGCGCGGCCGCTTATGCGGCCCGATGGGGAGGAGTGGGGCGGACTACGGGGATCGGCTACTTACACCGCCCTTCCCTGCAGCGAGCCCCCTCCAACCCACCCGCGCTAGGTCTCGGGGGACGCAGGGGTCACTCCCGACGACCTCGGGAACTAGGGGCAGTCGGAGAAGGGGTATCCGTGCACTGACGGTCGGCCGCCAGAAAACACGCCTGCGTGGATCGCGTCACACCAATCCTTGCTACCCAACGCGGCCAAAGGATAGGATTCCTATCCACCTCGAGAACCTCGAGAGAGGAGGAAGCCGGAACCCTGCCCCGCCCCCGGCACAGGGGACGCGACCATGTCGGACGGCCGCCTAGCGCCCAGCGCGCGCCAGCTCGGCTCCCTCGCCGGGTCACGCACCTGGAAGGCGTGGGCTGGGAGGAGCACCGGTGCAGACTCGTTCGCCGTGGGAGATCTTACCGCTGGCCTCGGGCTCGCGCTTCGGCGTTTGGGACGCCGGCGTTTAGGACACCGCTGCTGCCCCATCTGCTACGACGAGCGAGAGGATGGCGACGATGACTGGCACCTTCTGTGGTGCGGCTGCGCCGCCTGCGGGACGTGCATGCGTCGGTGGGCGCAGACAGCGCTGAGCGATCGGCAGGGCGCGGCGGTGCCGGCGGTGTCGCGGTCGACGTCCTTCATCGAGAGGCTCGTGGCCCTGACGTGCCCCGTGTGCACTGCGCCGCTGCGCCCCGCCGATGCGGTAGACGTCCTCGCGCGTGACGCCTCGCTGCTCCAGGCCTTCGACAAGCTTCTTCGCGACGCGGCGCTGCGCGGTGCGCCCGATTACCGCCCGTGCCCGCGCGCTGGGTGCAGCGGCGGCGGGTTCGTCGACTGGCGCTGCGTCTCCTCCGTCACGCTCGCGCGCCGCTCGCGCGCGAGCGCCGTCGGACTGCTGCTGCTGGCGGCCGGTGTGACAGTCGGGAGGTGCTCCGCACTCTCTGCTGAAGAGACACCGGAACCTCCTCCATACACACACCTACTCGCGTCACTCGTACACGCGTTGCTGCGGTCCTGTAGGTGCGCGGCGCTCACCGACCTGGCGGCGGCTCGGGCTCTCGCGCTCTTGTGCGCCGTCGCGCCAGCAAGCGCGCTGCTCGCCTTGGCGGCGGTGCGGTGCGGCAACGCGGCGCGGTCTCTTGTCCCGCTGTCTGTCGAGTGCCCCGAGTGTGGCGGTGCGCTTCCAGCTCTAGGATTCTCGGACCCTTCTAGGACCCTTCTAGGACCCTTCTAGGACCCTTCTCGCCCTTCTAGGACCCTTCTACGACCCTTCTACGACCCTTCTAGGACCCTTCTAGGACCCTTCTAGGACCCTTCTCACCCTTCTAGGACCCTTCTACGACCCTTCTACGACCCTTCTACGACCCTTCTAGGCGGCTTCCAGCTCCCCACCACCGACGCGGTGGCGGACGCGGCGGCCGGCACACGAGACGCGGCGGCGAGAGGACGAGGCCGAGAGGGCCCGGGAGGACCTCGAGGCTGGTCCGCGAGTAGGAGGGGGCGACGCGGCGTGGGTGCGCGAGAATACGCGTCCGTGCCCTCGCTGCGCGGCGCCCATCCTCAAGGCGGGAGGGCGCAAACCACCTACGATTGGAGATCTATTATTCTCACTCGACTATTGTTGTTCTCAAGGCGGGGGGGTGCAACCACATCACGTGCGGGGCGTGCAGGACGCGCTTCTGCTGGGCGTGCATGCGGCCAGGCGCACGCCACCTCGCGCCTAATCTCGAGCAACCTCGGGTAATCTGGGGCCACCTCGCGCCTAATCTCGAGCAACCTCGGGTAATCTGGGGCCACCTCGCGCCTAATCTCGAGCACCTCGGGTAATCTGGGGCCACCTCGCTGCCAGGCGTCCGGTGCACGCCCTTCGGCTGCGCGCATGGCGCCCCGTTCGGCAACGCCTCGCCGTGGCGGCCCGAGCGCGCCATCGCCGGCAACGAGATGGAGAGGCACGGCCAGGTCGCCCACACACAAACATACACAAACACACACGCAACACACACGCACACGCACACGCACGCGCCGCACGCACGCACGCGCACGCACGCGCACGGGGCACTTGTGCCTTTGTACCTTTCTTTGGACGTGGAGTCGCGAGGGTCGCCTCGCCCTCACCCCAACACCTTGTGCGTGCGTGCGTGCGTGCGTGCGTGCGTGCGTGCGTGTGTGTGTGTGTGTGTGTGTGTGTGTGTGTGTGTGTGTGTGTGTGTGTGTGTGTGTGTGTGGAGAAGTTCACCTTACCTCACCTCACCTCAGGTCGCGGCATCACTGGCCTACGGCGGCGCCGCAGCCGCTGCGGTGGTGGCGGTGGGCGCCGCAGTGGGCGGCACACAGGCCCTGCTGGGTGTGAGTGAGCCTGTGTGGCTCACAAGCCTCGAGGCGCTGCTGGGTGTGCCATCGGCCGGGGTGGGGCTCGTTTTGGCCTTGCTCGCGTGCCTCGACATGCGGCGAGTGGGGTGAGGCGCGAGAAGCGTGTAGCGCATTGTGATTGAAGAGGAGCGCCATAGTCTGAGGGTTAGGTTTCTGGAGCCTCGGGTGCGTTTAGACTTTTGATCGGGTCAGGGGAGAGTGCGACTTTTACCCCTTGGGCCTTGCCCCACCACCTCGTGTGTGTGGAGAAGTTTACCTTACCTTCCTTACCTTACCTTACCACTTCGATCGTCTCGGAGCGCCTAACTTTTAGCATTTCGTCTCAAAACAATTCGGCGCTCCGGGCCGGAGGCTCCGCGCGCCGGAGGTGCAGTAACGAGTAAGTAGTAGCTATCGTCCCGCGAAGTAGTTGAGGCCGTTTTCCCGCACACTTGGCTAGAGAGAAAAATGCTGTGCTGCTCGCCTCGAAAGCGCCCCTCGCAAAATTTTTGCGCGCCTGCGGCGCGCGACTTTTACCACTTTGCCCCGGGCGGGCCCACTTTTGTCGTTTTGCCCCAAATCTACGCCTAGGCGTGCTTTTAGCGCTTTGACCTAAATCGGCCGAACTTTTAGGATACCCTCAGACTATGACGGGCGAGCGCGTGGGCGATGGCTTCATGATTGTAGATTGGCTCTGGGGTGTGTTGCGTAACTTGAGGCGTGTGTGTTGCGCGTTTAAGAAAATGTCGCGGCCTCGGTTATCGAGGGGAAATATCGAATAAGCGCCCCTCTCCATGGAGAAGTTTACCTTACCTTACTTTACCTTGCCAGACCAGAGATGGGCCCTTGAGCAAACTCGCGCGGCTCAGCGCCCAGAGGTGTCGGGTACACTCGGCAGGGGCGCAAGTGCGGTGGTCGCCAAGAATGATCTGTCTCCCCGTCGTCGCTAAAGTCGTCGTCAACGTCGGGGTCAGCGGTCAAGCCGCCGAATTCCGAACCACCAGAGTGGTAGTATGCGCGAGCGGCATCCGCGTCCCTAACGCTGAGGAAGAGACTGTTGTCAGTCGGAGCCGGCTGCGATCGCACGTAGAGAGAAGTCACCCAGCCAGAGTTCTGGTGGCGCGATACGCATGGGTGTCGATAGATGGACTTCGTCGCCGCGCCCGAGCCGCCCGCGGAAACCGAGTCCACACGACAGACAGTCGCCAGTCCGCGCCCTTGTCGTGCCAGTGTGCTGTGAGAGAGGCTTGAACTTAAAGAAATTCTTTTGTAAAAAAATGTCCCGCCGACTCAGTTTGCCACTTTTGCTCTTTCCCGCGCCCAAAAATCTGCGGCGGCTCGCAGTGGCAAAAAGAAAGGAGGGGGCACAAAAAACCGTGCCCTTAGCACCGTCCCAACAACTGAAAAAGAAACGCGAGCGTGACTTCATTGGGCGCGGCGGTCCTTCACATACATGCATCCGACCCTCGCCCCATTCCTGCTCTCGCTCTTCGGCGGCGCGACCGCCCACTCCTGGGTCACCCTTGTCGGCACAGACGGTCGCTCTCGCGGTGGCATTACGCACAGGGAGGGTGAGCTCTTCCTCCAGCGTTACGTCTGCCCGCTCGCCACGCTCGAGCAGTGCCAGGCTGCAATCGACCCCAAGCACGGCATCACACTTTCGGACGACGCCATGCGCCCTTGCCGCCAGGACAGGGTATCAGACCCGATGGCTAGAGTTGCGCCTGGTGAGCCCTTCTCTGTCGCGTGGATGGGTAACGGGCACGCTGGAAACGGGCAGTCGGACGGAACATGCGTCCGCATCCGCCTGGCTCCCTTCAAGCAGTCGCCCGAATGGGTCGATTTCGATCAGATCGGGGCCGACTGCCTCGCCTATTGGAAGTACGGTGCGGAGGGCCGAATCACCACCTCGGCAGAGATCACCCTCCCTGATGGCACGCCCGAAGGATCCTACACGCTGCACTGGCTGTGGAACTTTACCGACTTCTGGTACGCCTCCTGCGCCGACGTTGAGGTGGGGCCGGTGAGTAGCGATGGCTTCGATGGCAGCTCACCGTCGCCCTCCCTCCCCCCCTCCACCGGTGACGGCCCGGACGTGCAAAAGTATCTGCAAAGCGGATGCGCGGCGCTGGCCGACACCTTCTGCCAGAGCTACATCGGCACGGGCTCGTACTGCAAGAGCTACAAGACGGACGAGTGCGGGCGGTCCGTGTGCCTGGGAGGCGCCTTCCTCCTACCCTGCGGCACGAGCAGCCCGCTGCCGTCGCCATCGCCGACACCGCTGCCGTTGCCATCCCCGCCAAGTGGCACCCTGCCGCTGCCTCCACCGCCAGCCGCCTCGCCCTCGCCAGAGGCCCCTCCCTCCACGAGCGAACCGCCGCAGCTCACCCCTGAGAGCCTCTATCTGCGCAGCGGCTGCGCCGGCACCGACGTTTGCGCCGCCCGAGGAAGCCACTGCAAGGACTGGCAGCGGGACGAGTGCGGCCGCGCCGTCTGCCACGGAGACACGCACTCCCTCCTCGTTGCCTGCTCCGAGCTCAGCAGCGGCTCGCCACCACCACAACCCACACCGCCTCTCTCCGGCGGCCCGCCTGCTCCATCGCCCACTCCTCCGCCTCCCGTCGCGAGTGGCTACCATGCACTCTTCGCGTACATCGAGGATCCGATCAACACGCAAGTATTCAGAGCCGACTACGACGCCGACGCGGTCCGATCGCTGGCCTACTTTGTGGTTGGCATGACGCCCAACTCCTACGCTGCTGCCAACCGTACCCTCGCTATGCTTCTCTCCCTGCAGAGCTCGGGGTGGAGCGGCAAGGTGCTGCTGCAGCCTGACCTGACCACCAACGCCGTGTGCGACGTGGGAGGCGCCGGCTGCGGCGGCGACATTGTCTGCGCCGTCTCGACCTGCTTCGAGACCCTGCGGCGCGTCCTGGGCGAGACGTTTGCGGCGAGCGTCGACGGTGTGCTCCTCGAGAATGAGAACGCGGCCTCGCCCGCGCTCAAGGCGTGCTCGACGGGGGAGGCGCCCGCTCGCGCGGCCTGCCTCAACGCGTTCCGCTCCCATTCGGGCGCGAGCGACTGGGAGGTGTGGTCGATCCCCGACTTCACCGCGTACGGCTCCGCCGGCTACGCCGCGGTGCCTCGCTTCGCCCAGTTCTACAATATGTACTCGAGGGGAGACGGCGGGTCCTATCCCTGTGTCAAGTGCGGGCCCTCCCCCGACTGCCAGCTCGACTTTGAGGCGTGGCGCGCGCAGCCGGCGTGTGAGGACTCTGGGCTCCTACCACAGTTTGGAGGAGCGGTCTGCTTTCAAGACACCGCTCGGAGCGTGGGCTGTGCGCACGCGTGCGGCCGGGACGTGCCATGCCTCACCCAGGCTGACGCGGCAACCTCGACTGCGTTTGGTGGAGGCATCTACGACCCGGCGCTGAACATCTCTCCGGCGGCCATCGGAGAGTACCTCGGAGGCATATACACGAGCGGCGGAGTGCACCGGCGTCCAGCCGGCGGTGCTATCGCGGTCGCCACGCTCCCCTTCACCACGGCGTCGCAGCCGAGCCTCGTCGCCAAGATTCGCAACGCGGCCGACCTCGAGGAGCTCGCCGCAGGCATGCTCAGCGCGTTTGCTGCAGCGGCCGACGACGGCGCCGGCGCGAGCCAGCCTCTACGCATCGCCGCGTGGGGCGCGCCGTGCTGGCTCGTCAACTCCACCGCCCGCGCGCGGGTCGCGCCGTGTTCAGGCATCTGAAGCTTGATGGGCGCCCAGCGGGGAGGGGGGGAGGGGAAGCGCCGCGTGGGAGGAGGTGGAGCAGCCAGCAGCGGCTGAGACCTGAGTCCTGCGAAGTGAGATCCGATGAGGTTGAGCACATGCATGTGATCTGTGGGAGCGGCGGGGCCTATAGCGCGCATGTGCATGTCGCATGTGCAGTCGTGGCGTCATCTTTCAAATTAAATGTTACAAGTGTCATCTCCCGGGCGAGAGGTACTGCGCACCAAACTGCACACACAAGCGCGACTCTCTCTCGGTCGCTTCCGGACAGGAATGCGGGAAATGGCTGCCCCTCCCCCGCTAAGTATACACTGGGGGCGCAGGAAACGTACATTATCGATTGTGGGTCGTGAGCCCGTGAGGGCGCCCGAACGACCACGGATCAGAGGGACGGAGTCACGCCGAGCGCGATTGCACCGATGCTGTGCCACCTCCAGTTTCACCCCATCAATGGTCCGACGTCCGAGACGCCTGCCCACGCGGCAGCCTGCTTGAAAGCGGCGTACTTGGCGCCCTTGAAAACCGTCAGGTCGATGACCGCCTCCATGCCAACTGCCGGCTTGTCGACGAGCTGCGCGACGCGGAGGTCGACCGTGACAGACGCGAGGACCATCGCCTCGCCGTACGTGTAGCCGCCGACCTCCGTCAAGAAGGTGAGCGCCTGCGGAGGGTCGACAGGCCGAGATCAGCCGAGATCAGCCGAGATATGCGCAGCCGCAAGAAGGCATGTTGCCTTGAGGAGCGCGTTGGCGCCGGCGAGCGACATGGACTCAGGGATGATCTTGGAGGTGACGAGCGTGTCGATGCGGTCCTTTGCCCACACGTACTGCGAGGGGAGGGTGCCGCTGCTCTTGAAGGGGAAGCCCATGAACGAGATGAACTCGCCCGGCGACATGCGCTTGATTGAGGTGGTGCCGTACATGGCGGGCGTCGGCGTAGCGTAGCCGGCATCGCCAGGCTTGACCAGCGTGAGCTTCATTTTGACTGAGGCCGCCATCTCGATGGCCGTGATGCTCACCTCGCCGTCTCCCTGCGCGCCGTGGACGTCGCCGGTGCCGACGCCGCAGCCCGCCACCTCGCACTCGAGGAGGAGCGTGGTCCCGACGCCCATGCGCTGCGTGTCGGTGTTCCCGAAGTACTCCCCGCCGGCGAGGGTGCGCAGGCATTCAGTTGCGTGCGTGCCATTGACGCCGCACACAGCCGCGGGGACCGCCAGCTCAGGGTTGACCGCCCACTGCGGATTGCCTGCACAGGCAAGTGGCCGAGCTCAGGCCGACGCGAGATCTCGTCGAGGCCTGTTTGAGGTCTGGCCGAGAGGCCGAGATACACTCAGACGCACCGTACAGCTCCACCTCGGTCGCGTGGTGCTCGAGTTTGAGCGCGACCGTCTCGGCGCTCGGGAGCACGCCGATCGAGCCGAGGAAGGGCTCGTACGGGACGACGACGTCGGGGAAGCTGGGGCTCGTCCACGACATGCTGTGTTGGGCGGCGGGACGGTGGGGGGGTGGGGGGTGCTTGGCTGTGGAGTTGCGGCGAGGGTGAGGGCAGGGTATGGGGCACGTCGTCGCGTCGTAGTCCCAGGTCACCCACGCCATGAAATCCTCAGGGGAGTTGCCGTCCGGTTTGACGCCCTGTCAGGGGGAGGGGATCTATGGGGCTTGGCGGTGCGGGGCGCGATGAGAATCGCGTGGCCATCTCGAGGGAGGAGAGGGGAAATGAAGAGAGCAGAGGAGCGGGGAAGGGGGGGGGGGGGGGGCAGAGAGGAAAGAGAGGAAGCGGCCTCACATTCATGAAGCCAAGGGGCGTGTGGGACATGGTGAAGCCCTGGGCGAGCGGCGTGATGTCGAGGATCTCGATCGCCAGTTTGTCGCCCGGCATGGCGCCCGCAATACCCACTGGGCCGGTGATGATGTGCACCGCGGCGAGGTCGCCATACGCCTTGTCGAAGTTCAAGGCGGCGTCCGGGATGGGGGCGAAGGCGCCGTCTTCTCCATCCCATGGCTGGGTGAGCCCCGGGTCGGGGTGGTCCCAGAGGTCGCGCGTACGGAAGTCGACCACGGAGCCCGACGGGACCTCCATTGCCTAGAAGGTTCAGGGAAGGATCAGGGTATCAGCTCCGAGCAGAAGAAGGACCAAAGTCTCTGGTCGTGCCAGCGGGATAGCTGGGTGATAGCGGTTGTAGCAGTTTTTCTCCGTCTTGATGCAGGATTCTTCAAACGCCGAGATCGTGTAGTCGACGGGGCCATCGTACTTGCCGGCGGGGTTCGTCTCGCACTCTGGCGCTGGCATGGACGAGAATTCGAGGCTGCGTGGGCTTGGGAGGCCGCACATCGCGACCGACATCATGGCGGTGCACATCTGAGCGGGCATGTGAGGCGGCGAGTATTGCTGAGCGGGTCGGTGAGGTCAGAGCGATAGGCGGCGAATCCCTAGCACTGTCCCCTCGACCAGCAGCGACGCGGTGTGCAGAGTCTCAAGCGTTCCCCTCAGTTCGCCGCTCGGTGGAGCGCCGCGGTGTGTGTCTTCCGAGGGGCGGAGCCATCGCGCACAATCGGGCGCGATGCAGTTGGTGCGTAAGTGGGGGCGCAGGCTGTCGAACGTTTTGGTGGGAGCGTGAGGCGGAGAGCAGGCACGACCTGCTTGAGCAAGCGAAGAGAGAGGGTACACGGAAGTGTTCGCCGAAAGGTGAGCTTCGGAGAGAGGCAACTTCGCGGAATGTTGGGGGTACAACTCAGCCTTGAGATTCCGCCGTTGGTATTGAAAATACAATTGTTGGTATTGAAAATTTAGTACCCACCTCCCCGCTGCTGTCACGCTGGATCCGGCCTTTTCCAAACACTTTCTGGCGAGACGGCCATTCGCAATGCCAGCCGCGCTGCTACCTCTCCTCTGCTCCTTCGCTCCTCCCCCACCCGAGCCACCGCTGCCGCCATGCGGCAGCAAGATGGCAAACTGCCGCCCTCCACCTCCAAGCCCGTCGCCGCCTCCCGCTCCGCCGCCTGGTGCGCCAGCAGGACCTCCGCCACACCCCGTCGCGCCTTCAGCCTGGCGACGCTTCGAGTTTGCCGACGGCAACGACGGTGAGTGGGGGCCGGACGTGAGCTACTCACAAACTCCACTCTGGTGCGCCGCCGGCGCGATCGTCGTTTTCCAGTGGCACAACTCCTCCACCGATTTGGTGCGGCTGTCGAGCGAGCAGGCGTGGGAGAGCTGCGACGTGAGCGGTGCGACTACCATCGCCCCACGAAACATGACCGGCCAGCTTCATCTTACGTGCGAGGCCGGCCAGCGCTATTTCCTGACGACGAGCGCCGCGGCCGAGTGCCGGGCGGGCCAAAAGCTACGGGTCTTTGCGAGTGGCTCGGTTTTCGCACACGATCCGAATTCCGGCGAGACGCTGCTGCACGTCCTCTCGATGGATCGCGTCTACACCCTCCTCGGGCATCGCGACTCCGGGCTCGGATTTTCGGAGCTCTCCCGCGGCTACCAGACGGAAGAGCTGGCAGCGTCGACATTGGAGCTGATCTGGTGCCTCGACGCATCAGGGCGATGAGACCACCCGTCTCACCGCCCTTAGCTTCGTCAGCCCCTCCGCAGGTGCCTGCTCGATCACTGCCCGCAGTCTGCCATGGACTTCGATCCGACCGCCACAAACGCGTCTTGCCTCGCCGAGGTCTACACTCTCGCCGGCTTCGTCACGCGCATGCGGCCTGTGCCCAACTACACCCTCGCGCTTGAGTACTACCAGGCCAGCCGCCCTGGCCCTCGTTCATGCTAGCCCGCTAGTGGAGATGAGACTTGACCCTCGCCCTGTGGTTTCTATCAGACGGCAATCTCTGCTGTGGATGGTCTGCGCCAGTGCACTGCGCTGGGCTATCTCTCCGAGACGCATGCGCAAGCCGCCGACGAGACGGCGGCGCTCGAGGCGGCCAGCAACCTCGTCGCCACATGCGGTGCGCTGAATCATGAATGCTCCCGGGCGATGGGTGTGCGGAGCCCAGCCCGGTTGCCTGCACCCGCGGTCCCCGCAGGTGCAGACTCGCCTGAGGCTCGCCACGCGCGCCACGCCTTTGCGAAGGCAGGGCTGCTTTGGCCGCTCATCCACCCGCCGACGTCCCCTCCCCCTCCCTCGCCGCCGCCGGCAAGCCCCCCTCTAGCGCCACCGCCTCCCTCCCCGCCTTCCGCACCGCCGATCCCCGCCCCCCCGCGCTCGCCCCCAACGCCACCGAGTCCACAGCCCGTCGCAATCACCTGGGCCGTCCCGACGAGCCCGCAATCTGCGGCGGTCCGCGTCGGCGGCGTCGTCACCTTTACATGGGACGGCTTTCACAACGTCTACCTCTCTGGAAGCAGGGCCGACTTTGACTCGTGCGCCACCTCTGGCGGCACGCTCGTCGCGCAGGCCGCTTACGATGGCGCATACAGCGTGGTTCTGACGACGCCGGGCACCTACTACTACATCTGTTCGGTGGGTTCGCACTGCGCCGATGGGCAAAAGATTGCAATCACGGTCCCGCCGCCGCCGCCCTCGCCCGCGCCTGACGCTCCGCCCACGTCGCCGCCCACGCTGCCGCCGCCCTCCGCCTTGCCCTTGCCTCCGCCGCCCGCGCCGCCGCCACCCGCCCCTCCGCCGCCCACGCCGCCGCCGCCCTCCGCCTCGCCCTTGCCTCCGCCGCCCGCGCCGCCACCACCCGCCCCTCCGCCGCCCACGCCGCCGCCGCCCTCCGCCTCGCCCTTGCCTCCGCCGCCCGCGCCGCCGCCACCCGCCCCTCCGCCGCCCACGCCGCCGCCGCCCTCCGCCTCGCCCTTGCCTCCGCCGCCCGCGCCGCCGCCACCCGCCCCTCCGCCGCCACCCGCCCCTCCGCCGCCCACGCCGCCGCCGCCCTCCGCCTCGCCCTTGCCTCCGCCGCCCACGCCGCCGCCACCCGCCCCTCCGCCGCCCACGCCGCCGCCGCCCTCCGCCTCGCCCTCGCCGCCTCCTGGCCCGCCGCCGCCAACTCTCCCACCTCGCATCCCCAAAGAGGAGCCGCAAGCGCCTGCGCCGCCTCCCTCGCCGCCGCCTCCACCACCCTACCCTCCGCCTCCCTCGACGTTGCCCTCGCCGCCGCCGCCCTCAGCCTCGCCTTCTCCGCCGCCACCCTCGCCGCCGCCGCCGCCGATGCAGCCGCCGCCGCTTCCTTCATCCGCGCCTCCACCTCGACCGTCGCCGCCCTCGGGCCAGTCGAGCTCGGGGATCTCGGCTGGAGCCATCGGCGGAGTCGTTGGCGGCGTGATGTGCGGCCTGCTGGTGCTCGGCATCTTTGTGTACTGCACGGCGGCGAGGCGCGCGAGTGCGTCGCGGACGGTGAAAGAGTCGCCGAGTGGTGGCGTGCAGGGCCCCCTGGTGGCGAGCGAAGTCGAGCGCATGTGAAGGGCTTCCGCGGCATGCTAGCTTCACGGCTAGCTTTTGCTTCTCGCAGGAATCGCTGAAATTCCTAGGCGGCTCCCGTGGTGTACTGTGTTAGTGCAGGGTGTGCGCAGCCCGTGCCGAGTGTTGTGCGATATAGAATTTTTGTGTTGCGTTGTGTGTGTGTGTGTGTGTGTGTGAGAGATTCTTCCCCGCGTTGTTGAATCGTGCGTGCTGAGTTATATGGAATCCCCTTTCCTTCATCCTGTGTTAGTGCCAGTGCGCGCCCGGTGCCTAGAGTTTGCCGTCAAATTCTTTCTTCGTAAGCACTGCGCCTGTATCGTGCATGAGCACAGCCTCGAACGAAATGAGGTCGGCTATCCCGAGTTCGTTGAGCACCGACGCCAGGCCTTAGTTCACGCCAGGTACCTTTTTGACCCCTCGTACCTATTTGAACCCACCGAATTCCTTGGCCCTCGCAGCTGTGATACAAAAGTGGGGACTCGCCGCGCGGCGCGCCCCCCAAAAAACTTGTGGGATTGATTGATGGGAACGCGAAACACAAGAGACAAATCCGACCACCGACTGGGACACCAACGCGGTATGGGTGGACGCTAGACGGGCGATGACGGTCACACAGGAGCGACACACAGAACCACAAGACAAGACACTCAGCCAACAGGGCGGCTGCCACACATCCTGAGCGAACTTCAATAGTCACCCGCGGCCGGACTCCATCCGGCACGCGTCGCTGGGCGCTCAGAGCTGCGTCCCCTGCTCGCCACCCCGGACGCCCAAGGCGCCCAGAGCCGAACGACAGGCGGCACGCGAAGATCTGGTTGCAATCCCGCCGACCGCCAGGCCGCTGTGGGAGTCCTGCGGTAAAATTCTTTTTCGCCAGCACTGTTTTTTCCCGCCGCGGTACTCGCAGGTGGTTCGACAGGCGGCGTGCGCCTCGACTCGCGGCTCGGTGTGTCGACAGTGTGTGCCTCAGACGCGCCTCGATGCCGATCTCCATCTCTCAGCGAGAGGTCTCCCGCCTCAACGCGTTCCTGCCGGATGGCCAGCGCACGTACTCCAAGCGAGACGAGCTCCAGTCGGAGCGCATCCGCAGCCTCTTCCACTCGGGGCCGGCCGAAGAGCGTGCATGCGGCGGCGGGCGGCGGCTGGTGCCGCTGCACTCGTCGCCCAATATCTACAAGGTCGAGCGCTTCGTGTCGCCGCGCGAGATCGAGCATCTCGACCGCCTCATCACCTCTCGGCGCGCCGCCTTCAAGCGCTCGCACACGGACGACGTCGAGGGCAACGACGCCCTGACGGCGGAGCGGACGTCGCTCTCCCTCATCCTCCCCAAGGGCGCGGACGCCACTCTCCGGGCGATCGAGGCGCGCGTCCGACTGTGCATATGACTGGGCCAACTTTTCCGGAACCTTCTCCGAACCTTCTTGGAACCTTCGAGCAGGCGCGCGCGACCGACTTGGTCGGCTTGCCTCCGGACCACGTCGAGCCGCTGCAGGTCGTCTCACGCGCGCACACACTCGCACCACACACTCACACAGACGCGCACACACGCGCTCTCCCCTTCGCGCTCTCCTGGGCAAAAGCACTTGAGGTGTATATGTGCCTTCGCGCACCGGGCCTTGCTTGCACTTGCAACGTATCTCCCCCGATCTTGCCATATCTCGCCATATCTCCCCGATCTCCCCATATCTCCCCCGACTTCCCCACATCTCCCCATATCTCCCCATATCTCCCCACATCTCCCCACATCTCCCCACATCTCCCCGTATCTCAGGTCGTCTCTTACGCAGAGGGCGCCCGCTTCGACCTCCACCACGACCTCGGAGTGCTGACGATGGAGGACGACGAGGCCGCCGAAGCTTCGCCGCCATGGCGCGCTGGAGCTGCTCGGCGCTCATGCATCCGGCGCCGCAGACGTCGTTGAGGATGTCGGGGCGCAGCGAGCGCGCGCGATCTTGCAGATTGGGAAGCGCGCTCGCTCGCACGAGGTAAAAGTCCGTCGCGCTGAGACCTGCCTCCTTGGCCGCTCCGAGTCTCGTCAGCCGGAATGTGGCAAAGACGGGGGCGCCCGTGCCGAGGGGCGCCTCTCCGGCGGACTCCTTCCAGAGCAGCATCAAACACTGGAAGAGCTTGCGGCAGCGGCGTGCGGCGGGGGGAAAGGGCGCCTGCGACGCCGTCGAGGGGGCACGGCGCAAGAGGTCAGCGGCGCGAACCTGCCCGCGGGAGTGTCCCGGGCGGCTCGCCGCGCCGTGACAAGGCGGAGGCCGCAGTGTTCGAGCAGGTCCTCCAGCGAGCCGCGCGAGGAGCTCGGGGCTCGCCTCCAATCGGGGCGGAGCTCGTCGAGGGCAGCGTCCGCCTCGGCAGCCGGCGCGTGGGGCTGCGGTGCGCCGCCGCCGGTGTACGACACTCTGAGCGGCTTTCCTGAAGAGTCCACCTTCAACAGCGCCTGCCACACCACCCTCTTCTCCTGCGCGTTGGCGAGGAGCCAGTCTCCTTCTGCGACGTGGCGGAGCAGCTCGGCAGCCTGGGCCCGGCCGCTCACCGCCCGCTCCACCGCCTCGGCGGCCCGCCGCCGCCGGAGCTCGTAGTCGTCTTCTGCACCTGCGTCGGCCCGAGCGGAGGCCCCCGTGTCGCGCCCGGCGGGGACCTCCTGGTTGGATGGCGCAGCTTGGGCCTGCGGGTTGTGCCCGACCACACCGTGGCCGACGACCACTGGCGGGGTCGTCGCGACGCCGGCCGGTGCGGCTGGGGCGCGTGGCTCTAGCGCCTTTAGCGCGGCGTTTGCTGACGGCGACGCGCTCTCAGCCGAT